CCGCAAACTTGTGAACTTCCAATGAAGCTGAAGCATCTGGTTGAATTTTGCAATAGATCAGGAAACTGCTAACATCAAACAGCAGGACATCTGTTATCAAAAGGCCAATAATGTAGGTGTCTTCCACATACTCTACGGACATTTTTTGTCAAGCACACCATTCTCCACTTCAGCCAAGGATCTAAGGCATGGTATCAAACCACATTATAGTTTCCGTTTCCCCTGGAGGGCTGTTATGACTGAAACCATACAAAGAAGTCAAGAATAACGGTTTATTCACCTATTGTTTAACTAACTATCATGAGGGGTTTGGTCACAAGAAAATGCTTAGAATATATCTCTGATTTATGATATATGAGAATTTAAAATGTTGGTAGACATTTTCGGAAGGATTATGGAAGATGACATCTTTGAGCTGCTTTCGCGGGCCGTATAAAATGATGTGGCGGGCCAAATATGGCCCCCAGGCCTTGTGTTTGACACTGGATCTAAGGTGTATCCGGCAGCATATGTCCCAGAAGGGCACGAAGGCTCCCCACCGCTCTTTTCGTCGAAAAAAAAAAAAATCCACAATACTTAAGAGTCCAGCTCACTAATTCCATGGTTTGGTTTGTCTTTTCGGAAGGATAAAGAATATGGAGGCTATATCAAGACAAATGACAGCACATTAGACAAAGTCATAAATCGGATGACACGGCAACTAAATCTATCATCAAACTGCATCCCCAGGTGTCAATGGTGCCAAGTGCACATATGGACCCTTATGTTTGAGCATGTTGTTCATTATGGACAATACCTGACGAGCACAGAAGTCCAGAAACAGAACACCACTCGGGTTCCTATTGGGCGTTCCTCCCAATCACACCATTCCTGGCCTCACTCTTATTGCCCATGTGAGCATTGAAGTCCCCCAGCAAAATGAGGGAGTCCCGGATGGGAGTGCTGTCCAGCACGCCCTTGTGTGCAGAGCTGGCATGCAATAATTAATAACACACTCAAACATCTTTGTCCATTCAAGAGGAAACCAGTCATGGTGATGAAAACTATCCTCGGTAACTTTTCCCAGTTAAAAAGTTGTGAACCTTTTTTTCATATTAAACTCTGCTGAAATCCAAATGTATTTGTTTCCTACTGTTATAAGGCCTTGATTAACTGTCCACCTGAACAATATGCAGATAACAGATTGGGAAGAAATTTATGATAAGAGATAGTGTGCCTTCTGTATATTTTATACCCCCCCCCCCATGTTTACAGTCAACAGAGGCTTTCCAGTCTAATGGGATTTTCTCCCATTAGATACTGTCTGATTGGAGAGAGGATTAATTGTCACAGCTGCACAGAAGAGTTGATAATACTAACTGCTTGTTGGGAGTAAGGGAGGGAATATTGATTGCATTCAGTAAAATACATATTACACACAAATCATAATTTCCTGCAGAGGAAGAAAAAAAAACCCCAAACGTTCCTCTTTAATAATCAAGCCACAACACTACTGTATCCTTCAACACATCCAAAATAAACAATTTACTTCCTATCTTAATTCCAGTGATTTTTCTGAAAAAAGCTGTGGATGTTTTATATGGCTCCCTCCTCCAACTGATTCAAGGATTGTTGTACAGCTTCTGCAGAGCTTGCTCAAGGGCACATCAAACATGCAGGACCCTGGCCCTCGAGCACAGGAATCGCCCATACCTGCTGTTGACAAATTACATTGAAGTGGCACAATTATGATTATATGTGTTTTTGTTTGGGTATTGTTTTACCATGATAAAAGGTTCAAGACCCGTAGGGCAAAAAATAAATGTTTTAAATTCGACCTATTACAGAGAAGTGTGTTGATAATAACCCTGCCAAGTGTTTTTATTATTTTTTTTAATGTATAATGGAATTTAAAAAATGTGCAAACCCAACCTCAATGAAGTAGGGACGTTGTGTCAATATTTAATTGAATACACTACAAAGACAAGCTATTTAATGTTCGAACTCATAAATGTTATTGGTTTTAGAAAATAATCATTAACTTAGAATTTTATGGCTGCAACACGTTCCAATAAAGCTGGGACAGGGTCATGTTTACCACTGTGTTACACCACCTTGTAAATGTTTGGGGAATTGAGCACAGTAATTGTTGAAACTTTGTTGGTGGCATCATTTTCTCTTCCAATTTTCAAATTCCGTTTTAAAACCCAGATTGCGTACTATGTTTAAATTACATCTCTTCTTTTTTTACTGTGTATATTTTTATCTGTGGTTTTATTGTGTTGATCTCAGTGTCTTTAAGTGTTTTGAAAGGTGCAAATAAATAAAATGTATTATTATTATTATTATTATTCCGCATTCTTGCTTGATCAGAATCTGATTTATTAGCCAAGTAAGTAAAACACACAAGAAATTTACCTTCCCAGTTACAACCTGTCCAGAGAAGCATAAAAGCATTGACTAAGAGAGAGAGAGAGAGAGAGAGAGAGAGAGAGAGAGAGAGAGAGAGAGAGAGAAGCTTGTTTAGCGGCCCCATAAGGAAGACAATGGGGGAACAGACAGAGCATGGCTTGATCCTGAGGAAAAAAAATATCACATGCAGTGTACATTTAAAAGACATGTACAACGAATTTCGTGAACGGGCAGGATGGAAGGGGGATAGAGGGGAACACGAGGCAACAAGTGTGACTAACAGCTCAAGTCTGTTCAAGCGCTCCACAGGTCAGATTTTATCATTGGGAACCATTTTGCCACTGCCAGGTTTGGGACCGAACCAAATAATTAGGATTCCAAAATGCAGGCCCAGATAGTGTGATTTCAAAAATAAAGAAAACTCACACCGACAAAGTATAAACTAAAATCCTTGGTCACAAAGTGCCAGGAAAAACAATGCATAAACAAAAAGCGCTTGCAAAAAATGTTCGATTATCATCGCTATACACTGTTGACCTAAGTTGGGTCTGTTTCTCAAGCTTATGCTCCAGGGAGGGAAAAAAAAAAAATACCTCACTTCATTTACACGCCAACAATAAGAGGAAGATGCTCAAAAAAAAAAATAGTCCCCGTTCCAAATGCATCTCCACTTAAAACTATTTTTTCTGCCATTCCTGTTGGGAGACAGACGGGAGGGCTGTGGGGTGGTGGAGGGATAATTGATTGATTGATTGATTTTATCAATAATGTACTTATTATTTTTCTCAATATTTATTTTAATGTTCCTCTGAAGGTATGGCTTTTAAACCTTGGAGTCCCAAAGTTCTATTTTAATACATTTTATCATTTTAATAATGAAAAATAATAATGAACTTTTTATATCAAAGTCCATTGTTTTAATTACACTGAGGTATGCGGTAAAATAACATCTCTGACGTTTACCCGACAAAGAAAGCCGTTTAAAATCGGTGAAGCCAATCTACACTGTCAATGTCTGGGCTCCATTGACTGGAATTGAATGAGTGATCCAGCAGCTCTGTCCCAAGATGGCCACCCTATGGCGACAACACCTCGCCTCGGCTCACAGCGCGCATGTGCCATCTAGTGGCTGTAAATGTCGATGGCTGCATATAAGATTAGGTCCTCGGAAGGACGCGTTCTCGTTTTTTACGTCACGTCCTGCGCGACTCAACTTAACATAGCGCCACCATTAAATCAATCCTGTCTAAATTCGCCATCGTTTATGCGGTCCTCTCCAGGCTCCATGAAGAAGAGCCTTTGAAGCGTCAACCCCGTCTGCGAATTTTTTTTCAAGAATTTGGAGACCACGTGAGGTCGGGTCGCGCTTGAAGGGAAGTCTAGCGGCCTTCTGAGGACGCAATCTATGCACTGTGAGATACCCTCTGATTGCAATGCGTTTCAATATGGCGACGAGAGAACAACTTCCGAGACGCGTTTTTTTTACTTCCGGGACGCGGTCGACGGTTGAGAGGCGTGTAAATGACGTCATTGCTAGCGTCGATTTCCGAGACAAACGGAACGTACCATGAGAAGACAACATGTATGTCTGCTCCCTGCTGGACAAAAATTGTTAGAGCAGACGTTAAAAGGAGTGGGTTACAAGTCGTATGAGAAGATGCCCTTATTATCATCGGAAAACAATGCTTCGTATTCAATTCTTGTGGAACTCTCACTTAACCATTAAATTGGCATAAAACATGGCGTTTATTTAATTTTTGGAACATAGTAAGAGAAATATATCTAAAAAGATTAACATGCATCCGAATTATATATTTAACTAGTTGTTTAATTTCATGACAAATTTTGAATGACTGTTCAAGAAAGTAACTTTTCTGTGATCGCCTCTCGTGTGACAAGTTCTGGTAAAATGTAAAGAAATCCATCTTTCAAAAGACTGGTTATATAAAGATCAAAGTTAATAAACAAAACAAACCACTATCACTTGTATTTGCAAATTCATTGATGTTTTTATCCTGATATCTGCAAATTTAATATTCACACATCTATGCTTTTTTTTTTTAAAAAACGATTATTTATAAGGTATTTTAATTGATTGTTCTACGGAGTCTCTTACATTTGTAGACAATAAGAAAGGCAAAAAGTTTGTTGACAGATACACTGTGAGTCAAGGCTCACGGGTCATCACCAACGTGGTGGCTGCGGCACCAGGTAGCCCTCAAAGACCACATGAGTAGCCTGCAGTCTTTTGGGAAAAATAGCTCACCGGTGATGGAACATTGTGATTTTCGAGGATTGTACTTGAAGTGTGTGCCCTGTCGATACTTATCTGTTTCCTAATTATTGTAAGTAATTATCAGACATCAACAGTGTTTCCCCAATTATTAATACAATTTATGCTTAATAATAATTTTAAAAATTCGAAAAAGTAATTTGGGCGCATTTGTTTTCAGAAGTGTCTACCAAACTGGGAACCCTCCACAGTAATCAATACCCAAGAAGTAGCTCTCCGTTTAAAAAAATAGATTAGTGAACGCAACACCCACTGGCCCCGTGTAGTGCCACACCTGCAACCAAATGGTGTCAGTAGAGGATATAAAAGTACCACACGAAGAAGAAAAACGAGAACTACATTAACCAGAGTTCTTTGCGAACGCATGTCGGAAGCTGGTGATGAGGTCAAAAACAAAACCGGCCGGCAAGTGGTAGCCAGTCCACGCGTGGAGACCTGCTGAAGGTAAAATGTAATCTTTTTATTGACACTTTTGTTGGGTTTAGTAGTGCTTGCGGAGTCTCGCTTGTTGGGCTCCTGTTGTATTTTATTACAAAATTCAACCGGTCGTTGCGTAACCATCGTGCACGTTTCTGGTGTTCTGAAGTAACATCCAGTGAATTACGTATTTCAAGAAACGTAAACACTAAGAAACTTAATCGGCTTTTCCTTGCACGATAGTGCAAATAAAGACATATGTTAATTTCGTAAGTAACTAATGTTATCAACTTTCTGTTTAATTAAACTCATTGCCAGACTAAAGGTGATATTGAAACTCAAGTCTGTCGGTCTAATTTAAAAAAATGTATCTGCTTTTAGAGGAATTTGCACATTGGCGCACCTATTAATTATCTAGTTGATAAATATCGGCCTTAACTGATTTAGTGAACTCTAATGAAACATTGATTTTCTCTTATATTCTGCAAACAGCACCAGGCTGTTCCCTCCTTCAAAATTTGCAACAGCGCCGCAATTGTTGGAAGACAAAATATTACTGTTTTGTATTTCAATGACGGTGACAGGCGGCATGGTTGGTGACTGGTTAGCACATCGGCCTGGCAGTGTAGAGGTGCAGGGTTCGATTTTGGCTGCAGCCTCCCTGTGTGGAGTTTGCATGTTCTCTCTGTGCCTGCGTGGGTTTTCTCCGGGTACTCCGGTTTCTTCCGACATTCCAAAAACATTCAAGGCAGGTTAATGGAACACTCAAAATTGTCCTTAGGTGCTAGTGTGATCGCGAATGATTGTTTGTCTGTGTGTGCCCTGCAATTGGCTGGCAACCGCCTATTGCCGGATGACAGCTGGGATAGGCTCCATCACACCTGTAACCCTGGTGAGGATAAACGGATTGGGATTATTTTTACATGAAATCTACCAAATGAAAGAATGGACTCTCTTCATTCATCAGATTTTTTTTTCCTCTTTCCATTCTGTGGCAATCAGGAGTAGAACATAGGTGAGTTTCTGTAATTCAGCCACCCAAAATACAAAGAGGTGTTACAAAAGCAAAAATGTTCACATCAAAGACAGTGGGTTCACTCTATTAAATTGGCTAATTCACCATGTTGGAATGGCTTTTTATTGAAACATAAAAGTTTGTTTAGTGAAATACAGGCGCCCTGAGTTACGGCAATTCACCAGAAGGCCTCGTCTGCCGTTAGTGGTTGTTCACAGGACGACCTCGTTATATTTCCAACATGGTTGTCATTATTTTCAATCATGACACACACACACACACACACACACACACACACACGTCTTCCAACTCTCACAATGTATGCTTTACATTGTCAGACAACAAGTCTGTTGTACCAAGACAGTGAATGCAGACCTGCCTCGATTCTCACCAGAGATTTTCAATCTATGTATGATTGTGCCTTGCTACCCTCTGGTGGCTCGTTGGCTCATTACCACTTCTCAAGTAAAGGGCCAGCATGTCAGAACTTACATCAGAGTCTGATGTTAAGTCTGATGATCAGACCAATATTATGGTGGCTGGCATGGGCAAACGGCCGAATGCTGCAAACAGAAGAATGCTTGAAACAAACAAACAAAAAAGGCAAAACGTTTGGCTGTTTGCAGCATTTCTTGCAGCGTTTTTGATTTGGAGTTGTTGTGTTTTTTATTTTGTGTTTGTCTTTTTTTGTTGAATCTTTTTTTGTTTTTTTGTCTGGAGCATTCTTGTGTTTGCAGCATTCGGCCATTCGCAGCGTGTTTCCCCGTGTCAGCCACAGTACAATATGAACCTCTCCAAAAAAAAAAAAAAAAAAAGTATAAAATAACATAACACGCCCCTGTCATTGACTAGTTAAATGCTCATGGATTTTTTGAAGTCGCTTTTGGCATTTAATGACAGTATAATAGTGATTTGATCCAACCATTTTCTCTTTGTAAAATATTTATGTATGTATGTAGAAATGAATGTACTGTATTTATTTAATTTTGGGCATTTAATGAATTAACAGTATGTATGTTTGTACTTGTTTATTTATTTGACATTGTTGTTGGAAGAAGACACTTCATATATATATAAATAGTGTTCATATTAATATCTTTTTTGGTGTTTTTCAAAATAAAATGTAACAACAATACCGTTTAAGTGCTGAGTTGATAAGGAGTGTTCTAAGAGTAGTAGTGTCATTAACATTTTAACAATACCGATCCAAAGTGAGGATTGCACTGTAATCTGTGAACAGTATTGTCATGATAAAAAATGAAACAGCTTGGTCTTGAATTGTGATGCAAAATACATTCTTTTTTCTTTTTTTTTTTTTTTTTTCCAATCTCACAGTGCCACGAATGGCTCTCCGGCTGCTCAAAGTCCCCACTCTGGCAACAGCAGTGTTTGCCTCTTCCGGATTTTACCTCTACAATAGACGACTTGATTTCAATGATCTAAGTTTGATCCGCTTTGGACGAGCTGCTGCAACTGTAAGATATTTCATTTATTGAGTGTGTTTTGGAAACATGAAATGAATTGCAACTGCTCAGTGAATAACTTTTAATTGTATGCATATTATAATCAAGAAAGCTTGTTTTATGTGGTAATCTAGTTGCATGTTAGCTTGGTCTGTAGTACTTACCCTGAAATTTTGTCAACAGATATTTTAGGGTTTACTGATTTTGGAAATATAATTCAAAAAAGCTGCGTGCCAGAGCTTATCAGTCCGCACGTTGCTGGCTCCATTCATTTCAGTGGACCCATTCAAGGATTGATCTGGTGACGTACGCGCTGCTCGCAAACATTTTCACCGCAAACTTCACGATTACATCGATTGTAATTTGGTACTCATGAAATTTTAAGTATGGTTCAGTGTTGTTGTAAAACACTAAATGCGTACTGTGTGTACTATAACTAGGCGGCGACAGCCGGCGGGTGGCTCTATCCCGCTTAAAACCAAGAAATGGACATGTGCAATGGAGTTCCTTGCTGCATCGCTTCAAGAAACACCTATGTTTATTGACCAATCAGATGACAGTGATGTCACACCTCTCCTCAATCTGTGTTCTAGAACCAGGTTGGAACAGGTTCTGAGGAACCGTTCCATTGAAACCGTTCGACCTCGAAAAAGTGTAATGCAAAAGCGACCATACAGGGCGGAACCAGGCTGTTTGGGAACGAGCCAGTACAATGGAAAATTGGCTCAGGATGATTGAAAATGCACTCTTTCATTTCTGAAAAATAAACAGCACTGGTGGACACATTGTAGCAGACGATAAATTAAAACATGCTTCATGTTGGCATTTTCTTGAATGATTCTACAAATTACTGATATAAGCCCTTCTAAAATTGTGTTTACTACTCAGTTCTTTACAAGTTTTTTTGTTTTTCTGCAGACTGCTGTCATCAGCTATGACTATCTGACTGCTTTCAAATATGTGGAATATGGCACAGAGGAATATTGGGCCGTCAAGTCCAAGGTACAGTAGATGCACTAAAAACATTTTGCATTTGACCAGTAATGACGTGTGATCATGAAAAAAGCCAAGCTGAACAATAAGCATAAAAATGTCAGAGGAGATGATTTTTTTTTTTTTTTTTTTGAGGGGCGGTGAGAACTCACCTACTTGCCGGGTTGATCGAGCCTTGTTTTCTGATTAGAATGAAACCGAATGCCCAAACTGAATGAAAATGCTCTATATAAACACCTCAATCAGAATAAAGAGGCTGAATCCAAGAGGAATTTCGTTCGGATTCACAGGGTTGGTAGGTTTATTTTGTTTGCCAATCTGATCAGAAGTCATGCGTATGGATCAATGGGAGTAGCGAGCCTTCGTCCTTTCTGCACATGCTCTGTCTTGACAGAGCTGGTCTGTTACTTGGGAGTATGTTTTTCGCTACTACTATGATTTGTCTGAATCGTGCTGTTGCTTTAACAAGTCTAAAAACAATCACAACTACTGTGCCAAGTAGACAACTGACCTCCATTTTGAAAAATCATGTGATGTTTACTTAGATCGTCACATATCATCTGTGAAACATGATTGTTCTGATTGAATGTAGTACCATCTCTACACCAAATTGTAATAGATCACCTCACACATAAACAGTTGAGCAGAAATCTTAATTTTGCAAAGGATTCAAATTAAAATGACAAAAAAGTCTACATGTAAAACATTGTTGTACAGCGGATGTAAATGCAATATGTATTTAACATTCTTCATTGTTTATGATGTAGATATTCATTATAATCCTCTACATCAGAGTTCCCCAACCACCGGTCCACGGCCAATTTGGTACTGGGCTGCACAGAGACATCAGGCATGGTGGAAATGTGCATGACTCTCGCCAGTCGGAGTGCTTCTTCTAACATTGGTTTGAAAGTTGAAATAAACAGAATCCGCCAATATATGAAAGAAAAAGTAGGATACAAAAAGTAAGAGTAACAAATTGACCAAACGTACAGCTAAACATGCAGCTGATGGGCAGCCATGACTTCTGAAGATGAAGCTATTTCGCCAAGTGAAGTTCCTGCCCTCGCGGTAACTCCAGAGCGATGTGGAGGAGGAAGCTATTGTGCATTGTATGTTGTCAAAAACAAGACATTACAAGGAAAAAGAAAAAAGGGCCAGCTGTGTCCTGGGCTGCTCTCTGGACACTCTGGAGGAGATGGGCAACAGGAGGATGCTAGCTAAGCTAACAGCTATGAGGAACAGACCCTCCCATGCCCTCCAGGCCACCCAGACAGCGCTGCGAGAAGGAGAGGTACCGCCTATTGAATAGACGGTCCTGAAAACCTGGACTCACCCCCACTCATCCATTTTTAATGTGCTTAAATTTATGTATGTACCTTTCATAATTTTGCTGCTGTAAATGGGGAATTTCTCCATTGTGAGACAAATAAAGGTTTTCTTATCTTATGAAACCTGTTAAATCATTGAAACAAGTAGCACCCAAGTGATCAATCTGAAGGACTCCGATTGGCTGGAGTCGTGCACATTTCCGCCACGTCTGCTCATAGCTCGCAGGTGTGTCTCTGTCGCCCGGTCCCAAATGGGCCCGGTACTGGTCCGAAATGGGCCCGGTACTGGTCCGCAAATGGGTGGTTGGCGACCTCTGGTGTAGATCTTTTACTCAAAGGAACTCATCCTTGCCTCTGTGGCCGCAAATAAGATCAGCATCGTTATCACTAAAGCCCGTATTTTGCTGACCGGCAGCGGTTGGCAATTCTGTGCGCATGAAGCACTCGCTACTGTTAGGATTCGTTCAATGTTGCAAACAGTTGCGAAGATATTCGTCACATATTCCCTGACACGATTAATTGTTGCAAGTTTTTCTTGTCGCCATGAAATTTTGGCCCCCTGGTCACCGAAATTCCCTATAGGCTGACACTGCTGTGGATGCCGGGAACGAGGAGCAGCAGCAGACATGCACTCAGGAACACTAGGGGTTGTGAAAATCCTAGTAAGCCTGAAAAACTGTAGTCTTGTCTCGCGAGCCCAAACCGACCACCCCAGAACCCCCACTGCAGCTGAACTGAGGACTTCCCTCGGTATCACAGGGACCCACCTGAGAGTTCTCCAAGAGGGCTGTGACAAAGGCGACTGCACCAACCAGACCTGGCAGCATGCTTGAACCAGGAAAGATAATCCACGCCCATGTTCGCCAGACAAGGATGCAGCAGAAGCTTCAAGGTCAGGCATCTGATCTAGCGTCATGCATACCCGCCAACGCCCGACCATGCACTGGGAGCTGGGAGTCCCAGTGTCACTCCACTAGTCAAATAGTCCGAAGACGCAGGGGCAGAAAAAGGAGAAGAGGGGGGACGTCCACGCCTGAAGAGAGCACTTTGAGGTGACCGGGACAGCTGGGGCACATCCAACATTTGACACTGAAAGACATGTCGTAAAGCAGCCTGCATCGAGCCATCCTCTGATTCACACGACGAATTCCTCGTTAGAGGGCACCCGAAACAACGGAGGATCACCCAACTCCTGAAATATGGAAACAAGACTCAGAGGCAGCCAGAGAAACTGCATCAACATCCTGGGGAAGCGCAGACATCGGCGGGGCGGACACCTCCAATACTGCAGCAGAGGCAGAAAGGAGACTGTCCCGCAAACGGGACCTCCCCCGACTTCACGTTGCTTCGGAGGTGGATTATTTGCTCTGCTGCGTCCCACAGAGAACCTTCACTTGGAGGAACGGAGGGCAGCAGCAAGAGCATGCCAGCATTTAAAACGTCCCTGGTGACCACCGCAATAGGTGACGAAAAGCCCTTGACCTGCAGGAGAAGGGGCGAAAACTGCAGCCATCACTAGCAGAGGCCCAACATGACAGACTGACTGCGAAAACGGTAATGGTAGTTGTTACGCTACATCAAGGCAACATGCCGGCGAAAACATGGCAGCGCTAGCCTTTATGACTCAGCAACATCCTCAGCAGGGCTGGGAGGACATGAGGATGACACAAGCGAACGTGTGCAGAAAACCACATAGCATCTCTGCCAGAGAAAAGCCAAGGGCGGGAGAGCCCATTGCCGGACGGCGTTACCAAGCACACAAATCCACACTGCGACATGCGGCAAACAACAAAAGTGAGATGAGATAGTAGAACCAGCACCTCACCTTGTGAAGTCCAGTCGCACAAAGCAATGAACATACAGAAGTTCACCTCGGTGAACACAAACTAAGCCGTCACAACTGTAGGACGGTAGAAAACACATCTTCAACCCCAACCAACAATTTTCGATGGCTGCAATGGACAAAAAAGCCAAAGAGAACAAACAACTGTGATCCGGAGGGAAAAAGGAAACCCAATGGCACGCAAGCCAACTCGTGAGAAAGTTCTGAGCGACTGTCGTCCGGTGCCACAAGCTTTCATCCACACCCTGCATCACCCGGGGTCATTCAAGATGTTTCTTGATATTCATTCATTTTGCGCCTGCACAAAGATGAATTCACTGCTTTCAGCACTGCCCCTAGTGGTCTGGAGGGACTTCATTTTCAGAATGTTTTTGTTTGTTTGCAGCATTTCGCCGTTTGCAACACGTTGGCCCCTGTCGGCCACCGTACTCATGGTCATTTTATGTTGTAAAACACAATATATGGGTACAGTGGATTTCTTGCATGTGTGCTTTCTATCGGGCCGCATATGTCTCCCTCCTTTGTTCTCTCTCTCGGCTGGCTTTAGCTGTTCATCGACACGAACCTCACACATTGGTTAGCAGTAAGGCTGGGCAAAATATCGTTATCGTATCAGACATGAACATTAAACATGTTAATATTGAAATAAAGATGTCACGTGAACTTGCCACGTTTGTACTGCATGTAAAGCTCAGTCCAACCAAACACATAACTCCTTTCAATTTTAGTTATTTGTTGCAAATCAGAAGGAGGAAAATACTATGAAAAAAACTCTGGAAAAAGTCTCCCTTATTCCCGGGTAGTCTTTTATTACAGCGCATTAATATTTAAATGATTTATCATATCATTTTAATATCACACAAATCCGGCATTTGAAGAGGTGTATGTAAATGTTTTATATCCACCGTATGCACACACATACGCACATTCATGCGCGCGCACACACCTAAGCAGGCATATCTCAAGCTTTATGAAGAGAGACAAGATCCACTTTTTCTTCAAAGCATATGCTTATTTCAGCGGGAGAGCGAGAGGTCGAGTTGGCGGCATTGGGGGACAAATAGATACTGATGTCTAATGAGCCCTTTGCTTCCTCAGCTGCATAAGAAAACGGCGAGCATGAGCGCACAGGCAGTTCGGGGGGGGGGGGGAAGCGGCCATTTTGAAAAGTGTCCTTTCATTACTGAGATAAAAGGGAGAACAAAATGCCGATTCACTCTGTGCATCTGCACAGTATCATGCAAATTTTCTTGCGACGGTCTCCCAAGATTGAATATAGACGAGTCGTCGTCATCAGGGATATTCACATATGTTGAAATTGTACCGAATGAAACGGTGATCTAAAGGCATGGTGGGAAAAGGTTTCAAATCCTGTGAGGATGGTGATTAGTCCCTCATTAGTGTGTTCTCTGTTGATACAATCTTCACGGCATCAGCTCATACGTACATGTGTGCTATTTTAAATAAACCACACATTGTTTAGCAGATGTACGGGTTTGTATTTAGATCAATCCTCAGATGATTTGCTTCCTTTAATGACATTGGCGGTCTTGTAAATTAATGATTTTTTTTTTTTTTGACGATGATGAATTCTGGATAGCTTTTGTGGATTGGTTTTGCCTCCTGACAAGAAGAAAACATTTTCAATAAATAACTGTAAATAACATGGTGACTTGGAGGGCTACAAGAACTTAACTCTTGAGTTGTCACCGGTACCGATGCCACTGTTCCTTTTAATCCATCATTTTTTTATTAAAAAGATAATTGTAAAGGCTATAAAGAAGTTATCCCAATATAGCAATTATTCCTTAAAATGTTTCTCTTATCTTTTTTTC